TGCACACAATTCATCATAATGTGTATTTATCCATACATCTAAAGGATTTGATGATAATTCAATTAAATCTTGTTTGGCTTCAGTCATCGGTATGATTCGTACATTAAATGATGAAAGGTCATATTGCATAAAATACGTCAGTAAATTATCATAAAATTCCTTTGTGCATGAATCCATTAAATTCTTGAAGTAATCAAATTGACCCTTGAATTTACCATTAACTCTTAAAACTACGTATCTTCTGTCTCCAACTTCAATTTTGACAGGGTAGACGTTGTTAGTTACGAAAATGAAGTTTGCAACGTTCTGAGCTGTTCTTCTGGGTTGATTCTTTTCATTAATTCTTATCTCATTATCCGTAATAATTGATTTCAAAGCGTTGAAGTTTGCGAGTCTGTCTTCACCCACATTCTTGAGTTCATTAAGTACAAGAAACATTTTATTTTCAACTACTGAATTGAAATTACCCGTTAGCTCACTTATTTCGGTAATGTTTTTACATGAATAACCAGCGAGAAGTTCAGAAATAATGTCTGTAAATCTGTTTTACCTGTTCCCTGAAGTCCTTTCAAAATAATTGCTGTTTCATTCTTGATTCCGGGATGTTGAATCATTGATGCAATCCAGCCGAGAAGGTATTTATACACTTCATCGTTATTATCACAAATGGCTTCTTTAATGAAATTCATAAACATCTCAATTTTTGAGTAATCTGGTTTTTCGAGAACGTTGTATTTATAACCTTGAAACGTTGAGAAAACATCTGGGGAATCAGATTTTAAAGCAAACACCCTTAACGGTTAATGAAGACAATTGATTTAGTAGTACATCCCTGCTGTTATGGTTTTACCTTCTTCTTTAAATAATTTAATCATTTTGAGTGACTCTTTCATGTTTGACTGAAGAACAATGATATTTGATTCATTTTGTCGTGGATATTATAGTCCTTTTGAATGAAATATTTATTTCCACAATCTACAAAACGGATTACACGTGATAAATCCTCAATTACTTCAGAATGTTTTTATACTGATGATTTTCAGCCTTGCGTCTAATATCTGTTATCAAAAACGAGTCATCAAGTTTGATATCAAATGTTATTTTTGGCTTACGTAATAAAGGTAAACATATTCATCATAATATTCCTTTTGATATAGTTTTAGAATCTTCACTAAAACAAATGGAGAAGTCATTAAATGTGCATATCTACTACGTGCTTTTTCAAAATTACTTTTTGCATTTTCTGTTAAACTGCAGAAGTTATAACGTTATCGTATGCTTCATTAATTAAATGATCCGGTAACGAATTAATAGCTTGAAACAGTGTGAATTAATTTATTTCTTTTTCTAAATTCATGTTTCACCGTCATTATGTACTTCAAAAATCACAGATGCCATCAACTATGCTCTGAGCTAGTTTATCGTCAATGTTTACATCTTTGTTTTCATTCATGATAGTCTTATTTCTTCATTCTTCTGTTCAACTCTTACCTTAATATTCAAATCATTTATATATATTCACTGTTCTAGTTAATGTTGAATCATAACTTCCACGAATGAATGAGTATGTATTGATTGGTTCTGTTGCATTCTTGCGAACTCTTGAATCAGCCATAACCACTAAAGAACGCTTTGAATCATCCATAGAAGTCATGATATCAATATCATAATCATTGCAGGAATCATTTAATCATTCTGTTCGAAACTGGTATGGCTTTATTAGTAAATAAAATATCAAATTTAACGATTATAGATGTTGATATCAATAAATCGTACAATGATGAACTTAAAGAAACAGTTAGAAAAGACATTTTATCAAACTTTCGATAAAAGATTTATCGTTAAAAACCGCTTCAGGAGGTCTTCACATTTATTGCAACACTAATTTCTTCTATGCAGTTTCGAACAGAATGATTAAATGTTATTCCCTGCAATGATTATGATATTGATATCATGACTTCTATGGATGATTCAAAGCGTTCTTTAGTGGTTATGGCTGATTCAAGAGTTCGCAAGAATGCAACAGAACAATCAATACATACTCATTCATTCGTGGAAGTTATGATTCAACATTAACTAGAAACATGATATTATTAAATGATTTGAATATTAAGGTAAGAGTTGAACAGAAGAATGAAGAAATAAAGATATCATGAATGAAAACAAAGATGTAAACATTGACGATAAACTAGCTCAGAGCATAGTTGATGGCATCTGTGATTTTGAAGTACATAATGACGGTGGAAACATGAATTTAGAAAAGAAATAACATTTTCACACTGTTTCAAGCTATTAATTCGTTACCGGATCATTTAATTAATGAAGCATACGATAACGTTTATAACTTCTGCAGTTTAAACAGAAAATGCAAAAAGTAATTTTGAAAAAGCACGTAGTAGATATGCACATTTAATGACTTCTCCATTTGTTTTGTGAAGATTCTAAAACTATATCAAAAGGAATATTATGATGAATATGTTTTACCTTTATTACGTAAGCCAAAAATAACATTTGATATCAAACTTGATGACTCGTTTTTGATAACAGATATTAGACGCAAGGCTGAAAATCATCAGTATAAAAACAGTTCTGAAGTAATTGAGGATTTATCACGTGTAATCCGTTTTGTAGATTGTGGAAATAAATATTTCATTCAAAAGGACTATAATATCCACGACAAAATGAATCAAATATCATTTGTTCTTCAGTCAAACATGAAAGAGTCACTCAAAATGATTAAATTATTTAAAGAAGAAGGTAAAACCATAACAGCATGGGATGTACTACTAAATCAATTGTCTTCATTAACCGTTAAGGGTGTTTGCTTTAAATCTGATTCCCCAGATGTTTTCTCAACGTTTCAAGGTTATAAATACAACGTTCTCGAAAAACCAGATTACTCAAAAATTGAGATGTTTATGAATTTCATTAAAGAAGCCATTTGTGATAATAATGATGAGGTGTATAAATACCTTCTCGGCTGGATTGCATCAATGATTCAACATCCCGGAATCAAGAATGAAACAGCAATTATTTTGAAAGGACTTCAGGGAACAGGTAAAAACAGATTTACAGACATTATTTCTGAACTTCTCGCTGGTTATTCATGTAAAAACATTACCGAAATAAGTGAGCTAACGGGTAATTTCAATTCAGTAGTTGAAAATAAAATGTTTCTTGTACTTAATGAACTCAAGAATGTGGGTGAAGACAGACTCGCAAACTTCAACGCTTTGAAATCAATTATTACGGATAATGAGATAAGAATTAATGAAAAGAATCAACCCAGAAGAACAGCTCAGAACGTTGCAAACTTCATTTTCGTAACTAACAACGTCTACCCTGTCAAAATTGAAGTTGGAGACAGAAGATACGTAGTTTTAAGAGTTAATGGTAAATTCAAGGGTCAATTTGATTACTTCAAGAATTTAATGGATTCATGCACAAAGGAATTTTATGATAATTTACTGACGTATTTTATGCAATATGACCTTTCATCATTTAATGTACGAATCATACCGATGACTGAAGCCAAACAAGATTTAATTGAATTATCATCAAATCCTTTAGATGTATGGATAAATACACATTATGATGAATTGTGTGCAGGTATGACGTGTGAAAATGCTCTATTCTGCAAACCATCAGACATGAAAGACAAAAACTTTCAAATGAGTATTAAGGATAAATGTGATAGGAAACATAGAAGAATAGACGGTAAACAAACATGGTATTATGTTTTGAAAGAAGAAATGAAAGGATTATATAAACAGGTTGAACCAAACGATAATGAGGAATCATTTACTGATGATGAAATACCTGTAAATGAGCCGCTAAGCGGCGAGACCTGAAGGTCTAGCTTTATAAAGTATGATTGGAATTTATTTTTGCATTAATCCTGCTGTGTTGTCAAAATGTCATGTTGTCTCATTTTTTCAGAGAAGTTAAATGACCTGGTAGCACATGGTAACATGGTAGCACCTTCAGTTCTTCAATAATTAATTCATAACTACCTTCCTCCTGCTGTGTTGTCAAAATGTCATGTTGTCTCATTTTTTCAGAGAAGTTAAATGACCTGGTAGCACATGGTAACATGGTAGCACCTTCAGTTCTTCAATAATTAATTCATAACTACCTTCCTCCTGAACTGTTGTCAAAATGTCATGTTGTCAACATGGTAACATGGTAGCACCTTCAGTTATTCAATAATTAATTCATAACTACCTTCCTCCTGAACTGTTGTCAAAATGTCATGTTGTCACACTTTTTCAGAGAAGTTAAATGACCTGGTAGCACATGGTAACATGGTAGCACCTTCAGTTCTTCAATAATTAATTCATAACTACCTTCCTCCTGAACTGTTGTCAAAATGTCATGTTGTCTCATTTTTTCAGAGAAGTTAAATGACCTGGTAGCACATGGTAACATGGTAGCACCTTCAGTTATTCAAAAATAATTAACTAAAGATGAACCTAAAAACCATGAGACTTTGTCTCCGGACTCTTTGAGTCACTTAACGATAAAATAAGTGATAACAAATTTTTATTTTTATATAAATGAATACCCCACAAGCTCAAAATTTACCACGAATCATAACAAGGGAGGAAATGATAAAAATGATGCAAGAACATGTTAAAAATAACAAACCACTAAAATTGAGAAAATGTGGTTATGCAGTAATGATGGAAAGAGAGATGTTGTCGAAGAGGAATAAAAATTAAATTTGGATAGAGTTTAAAAATTCATCTTTATTAAATTCATCTCTTCCAATCAATTTATTTATTCTATTAAATTCTTTTATTTTTGCTTCACTCAGTTTAAGGATTGAACGATAAGTTTCTAATTTTTCGATTATTTCTTTATCGTTTTCAACCCCATCACATTGTGGCTTCTTTTTGTAATAGCATATTTTTGATTTAATTCTGTTTAGTTTCTTTTTATATTCATTGTCTGGACTCTTGGATGCTTCGTTGTCACTCATTTCTTACGAAATAAAAAAATTAAATATTATTTAAATATAATGGAGTAATAAAATAAATCGGAATTTCTATTAATTTATTGTTAACCTCAACTAATGCATTGCCGTTAATATATCTAACAAATTCAGCTATTGTGTCAAATCTTCGTCTTCTTTTTGTCATTGATTTATTAGTTTTTCCATAATCGAGATAAATCAAAACTTTATCCCCTTGTTTAAAATTCATGAGCCCCGAATTAATTTGTTCACGTTTAACATCATTCAACCTTTCCATTTGCTTTCTAATATATTCCCATTCTTTTGAAATATCATTTTTCATTTCCATCGGTTTCATGTTTATTGTTCTATGCCATGTATTATTGTAATAATATACTAACTGCTGTATGATGGAGTCATGATTTCCATCCCAGTATATTTGACCGTTAACCCCTAACGCATCTCTAAGAGTTCTCATTACCGCATCAACTATTTTATTATGAAACGTATATGGAGAGAATGAAAAGTAAAAATTAATTTGTGGGAAATAATGAGTCATAGCTGCCTGAAATCCTTTATCACCATCACCCCTGATATTATCTACTCTTTCATGATCTAGTAAGTATTGAATAGCTCTTCTTGTTTCCTGTTCTGTTTTCCCTTTCACCGGAATGCAATATAAATATCTGGTGTTAATGTTAATGGCAAATAAATAAGTAACGTTTCCTTTTGAATATTCCAGATGATCGATTTCGTATGAATATGGATATGGTGCAAATGATGGACGACTAAATTTTTCCTTTAACGGTTGAATTTTTGGGTCAATTGGTTTATTTAATATTTTGAAATCCTTTTTAAAATCTTTTTGCTTCTTTAATGTTTGAAATGGATATAATAAAGTGAATGATGAAGGATTAACTGAAGGAGGAGGTGGTTTTGGTGTTGCAAGTGGTTTAATTTTATCTGCTTTGATTTTGGATGATGAAGTTTTGGAATTCATTCCTTCCTTCATTAATTCCGGATGTATTCTATTCATTTGTTTTAAATATGCTGTATATAAAGGTTTAATATACTTTCCCGCTTCGAGTTTATGTTGAAGGATGAATTCCAAAAGTTGATCTTCATTTAAAAGTCGGGCTGAATATGGTTTAACTAATGAATCATAAATTAAAGCTTGTGCATCATTTATGGTCTGAAGGACCTGGGTGTTTTGCACCTTTTGTTTTTGCTCCTTTTGCTTTTGCGGCTCAGGATTATATAATTTATATAATTCATCAATATCTTCTTCTGTTAATACTTTATTTTTAAAATCTTTCAATTGTTTAAGTTGTGATTTAGTTTTTCCCTTTGAATATTCATTATTTTTAATTTTGTCTTTAATTTTAGAAATTATTTTATCATGATATTTCAAAATTTCATTTTTATAATACGAATAATAATAATCCATATCATCACCCGTTATATTTTTATTATATTTTTGGAGATATGCTTTTAAATCATAATAATCAAGAAAATTTTGATTAAATACTAAATCATCAATTAAAATTTTTAAATCTGTGTTATCCATTTATATAAAAATAAAATAAATGTTTTAAGGGTGCCCACCTCTTTGAATCATAGTACAAAACCATTATTAACGGTTCCTTTTGTCTCTTCTGTGGTATTTTATTAAATAAATGGCATACAACATCCATTTTCACAACATACAGCCTTAGTGTGTGCTCCTGTTAATGCAGTCTTACCAATTGTTAAGCGAGTCATTGACCCATTTTTAAGTTGTAAATTAATATTCTGACCATCAAATATCACTTTATCATTTATTATATCCAAATAATTTTTAGGTGTTAATTGTTTATTTTGTCGTTAAACTAACACCTTTCATTTTTGTGCAATCTTTTTAAAATCACTTCCATCAATTGAACCGTTGAATGAAGTATAACACTTAGGACATAAAGCAACCATGTTATCACCTTGTTTCTCAATTGCTAAACCCAATAATTTTTTCTCATGTGCTTTTTCTTCAGCTTTATTCTTTAATTTAGGTTTAAATTTCTCATCAAAACAGAAGAAATCAAAAGGTGCGAATTTGAAAATGTTTTTATCATAAAATTTTTTATCGGTTACAATTGCTTGAAATGCTTGAGTGTTAGGAAGATTTGGGTCGCCAGCGATTGCCCAATAAGATGAATCAGTATCACCTTCAATGAAATGAAAACGATTAACATCCAAGCATTTATACATAAAATCATAAATGAAAACCAAATACCAGTATTTAGCGTTATCTAAAGTGAAGAATGCCTCTTGTAAACATGTATCACATCTATAAAATCTATCTTTAAGCATCACTTGATATGTATCCTCTCCTATTTCTCTTATGTTTTTAAACTTATTTGACATACATGCAACGCGTGCCTTCTGTGCATTCATTATTTTAGTCTTTGCGTAATTTTGTGTATTCATTGCATCGTAACCATATGATCCATTAAGTGAAATCTTGCAAAATAAACTTTTTCCTTTATTTCCTTCTAATTCAGCCTTTTGTCTTTCATTCATAAATTCGTTCGCAAATTCATTAAAGCAAGTGTTTTTCGTAAATGTTAAAATTGATTGAATATCATCAATGATAAAATGAAATCTGTCTATTAGATACCAAAGATAATAAGAAGAAAATGGTTGATATTGGTTGTGTGTTGATGCTAACTGAGTTAATTTCCTCTGTTTCTGGTCAACTGGTAGATTGTTTGATTTCATGTAATTATACATAAAACTGCCAATTGTTTTTTCATCTGTGATAATATCTAAGTTTCTTATTATTGGTAAAAAGTTTATGTAATCATTAATGTATTTTTCATCAATGTGACCCTTTACTTCAGCCACGAATAAAGTATTTTTCTTTCTAATTATTCCCAGTGCTTTTGCTTTCTTTGTTGCTGTATCACAAATGATAACACCATTCAATCTTCCCGGCATATACATTTTATGGTCAGTATATTGAATGAAATCATGAGGATTAGATGAAAATGATGAAGGATATAATGAATTAAAGTCAACACCAACGAAATGAGTCATGATGTTGGTGGTGTCCTCATTTGATACAGTTTTAGTTTCTGGATTATATGAAATTTTATTAATGTGCGTGATTCCTTTAAGATTTACTCTATGTTGAACATTTGATAAACCACCAGTAATTCCATTACGGAGAATGTGATAAGCTTCAACCGAATCTAAAGTCATTGGTAAATTATTTTTTAATGTATAATTTCTTAAATTGATTCTTAAACGTTGAACATCCTCATCTTTATTTGATTTTACGACATTGCAATAACAACACATTAACTGACAATTTTCTTTGGTATGTGGTTTTTCATTATCGATTCTATCCAATGTTGGTTTATTTGCATATGTAAACGCTTTACCACACATTTTGCATTTAGATGAAAGGATTAAATCGTGAAGTATTGAAAATCATCCATTGAAAATTATTTTTAGTATCCCTTTCTGCTTTTTCATCTTGTTTCTTATATGATTCAATTTTATATTTCCAATACTTTTTCGTTAATTCAAAACTTGATTCCACTTTCTTCTTCTGGATATGTTTCGTTAGGATTAAAGTCTTTATATGCTAAAGCGTAACGAATCATTGATGCATTCGATGATAAAGAAAGATTATGAAGCATGTCAATTTTATAAACAAATGTTTCTTCAATAATTTTATCAATTGGGTCAATCATAATTTCAACATCTTTATTGCAATAATGAATAAAATATTCTAATCTATTCTCAAGTTTTTAGCATCATTGAGATATATTTGATAATCTGAATCGGATATTGTTTCTTGTTAATGCTGAATAAAATGAATCTTGAGTGAATGGTTCCTCTTTATATAATTCTTTCGTAATTTCCCACGTGATGAATTGATAAGGGAAAAAGGATTTAACACGTGATTTATTGTTTCCGAAATCTTGAGTGAATTGGTCTAATGTTCCACCCGCTATATAATTTCTGATGTCAATAAATCTCAATTCATATGGACAGTTTGTTTTCTTTACAATGATTTGCTTAAATTGAGAAGAAGAACCCAGCATTGATTTTATTTTCCATTTTGCAGTGTTTAAATCACGAAGAATTAAATTTAAATCAAACTTTCCCGAATTAAAACCTATGATATTCACTTTATTGAATTCCTCATCTAGAAGTTCTTTAAATGCTTCCTTCTGTTTTTCATTTAATGTATGGGACAAAGTCCCCGCCGTTTGGTCCGTTTGCGGCTTCATTAATTCTTCATATTGTTCAATATTTGATTTAGCAACTAATGAACAGGTTGAAAATAAAAATTCAATCCAATCAGAGATGAACGAATCACTTGATGTTAAGCAAAAATTCCTCGTAAATGTTTTATCACGGTCTACGACCTCGCCGCTTCGGTCTGAAAGACCTTCAGGACTCAAAGAGTCCGTTTGCGGCTTTTTTTGACAGTTGATGATACCATAAATGGTTTTAAGTAAGCGTTCAAAGTTGCACATTCAGAAAGTTGAAGTTCTTCTTTAGTCTCTAATGTTTCGAAGTCAAAAGTAATATAATATCTTGTTGGTTTATAATATTCCTGCAAATTGTGAGCTAATAGCCATTGATATATCTTCTGTTTCGTGATATGTGGTGCATATGGTTGTTGTGTGTTTTGCAATTGAACGTCTTGAATTAATCTTCCATTATTTTCTTTACATTTCTCACAATGTTTTAAAAATCTTCTTTGGTTTTTCCTTTCTGGGTCATCACGGATAGAATATACTTCTTCTTTGCAAAAGGGGCAAACTTTATATCCTGTGAGTGCTTCAACGTCTGTAATTCTGTCAGCGTGAAGTTTTCCACATGGACTCTGTGTTAATAAAATATTTACTGTTTCAAATTCTGGATCTATCATTATTGATTCCACTAATGGAAAGTCTACCTTGTTAATGTCTACGTCTTCTGGTTGAGGGTCACAATAATAAAAATCAATATTAACGTTTAACATTCTTGCTAACCTCTCACTTTCTGATGAAATGTCAAACCTTCATATGCATCTATGGCTTCATTTAAATAACTTCTACGAGTTTTAGGATTAACACCATCAGGAATGTTATAGAAGCGTTTAAATAACCTTCTACCTTCTGCTCTATTTGATTATCATTCATTTTAGCTGTTCCGTTTTTGTTCATTTATGTAAGAATAAAAAATTAAAAAATAAATAAAAATAAAGTTTATTTTTTTAAAGTCCAGGGCTAAAGTCCATAAAATGAATTAAGAACACATAAATTTTTATCATCTGCGACGTGACGAATACATTTTAATTTACTCAAGAATGCGTACCCTGATACATTAAATCTAATTCCTGTCTTATTTAATTTCACAACTTTGAAAAGGAATGTATGAATAGCTATAAAATGATGAGATGATGTTTTATGGGTTGCTTCCATTTTTTCTGAAATAAATGAATAAATATAATGTTTATAAGTTTTCATATCTTTTATATTCTTAATAACGAATGGTATAGACCTTTCAACTTCGTCTTCCTTCGGTGCTGTTCTTTCATATGAAACATTATTAGTATCTTCAATAATGAAACCACAATCGCATAAAATTTTATATGTACCAATTGTTTCTTTTGATATTTTATCTAATAAATCAAAAACTTTATCAACACCTGTACATTTATTTAAATAATAATTTGTGTAAATATCATGGTCTTCTTTCTTAATCGTATTTGTTGCATATGTTACATTTTTCAGTGCTTTTTTGAATTTTTCAGAATCAAGAGGAGGTGAAAGTAATATACATGGATAATCTCCATCGTCAATAAATTGTAACTTATGTTTATGAATAAATTTTGTGCCTTCTTCTGAAAGTGTTTCATCTATTTCACCATCTAATAAATTTTTAGTAGATTCCAAAAAGTAATTTTTATATCTTTCTTCATGAGATTTTTGAACTTCTGATTCTGAAGCTGGGATATTCATTAAACCCTCTACTTCATTCTCATTATATTTTTCAACTTCT